GTGACCTCTACATCTCTAAAACTTACTTAACCCTTCCCAAAACTCTGTAGAGTAGGTCATAATTATTCTCGTTTTACAGAGAAGGAAACCGAGGTCCAGAGATGTAAGTGACTTGTTCAAAGGCACACTGCCAATAAGGAGCAGAGCCAACATATTGAAGCATAGCAGCTTCCTCCACAGTGTGTTCTGCAGGCGAGGCTGCACAAGGGGTTCCAGGGTCACATTAGCAATGGAACATGCAAAGCCAAAGTTTCACTACCCCAGGGCTCAATGCCTTTAACATGCTAGCATGAATGGTGAGTCCTCGACAGGGGGATGTAGGATATCGCAATTTCCAAATATACATGGAACCATTTTTTGTCTTCTTGTTTGGAGGAGCAATTCACCAAACAGAGACTCCCTAGAACACAGTGTGGGAACCACTACTGGAAGGCAACACGATCACGTCTTCAAAATGTGTTTGAATAACGTCCAAAGTGCTACCACAGACGTTACGTCACTTGGACCCAAAGGAGAAAGGGTTGACATGAACATTCCATTTCACAGATAATGGAGGCAAAGCACACCAGATTAAGTGGCTTGTCCTGTATCATTATCCTGCAGCAATTAAGCAAGATAAATCAGCACCGGTCCCTGTGCCCAGGAGCAAGAGAAACCAGGTCAGGCCAAGGGGGAATCAAGCGAGAGGCCTACATGAGGCTCCTCCTCGCCTCTGTCCCTCTTCTTTAGAACCTTCCCTTTGCATTTGCTTTCCTCAGGAATCTAATGGGGGAGGGGTAGTTTATGCAGAAAATGGAGGGAAAAGAGAGGGTTCAGGTGGGCTCAGGTCATGGGCATTAGGAAAACTGTCTTGGGCACGTGAACTGTGAAGGGTCATGTGAGAGGATCCTGTGGGAAATGTACAGATCAGAAGAAAGGAAGTGGCACTGGGAACTGTGGAAGGGGACAAGGGAGGGGACAAGATTGCCTTAAGGATTCCAAAAGCTGGGGGATTTAAAGCACCTCACAAATCAATCCCCCTGATCTGGAGTCATCTTGGTTCAGCAGTTAGAGAACTCAAGGCCAATTAGCTGGACACTCCTCAAGCATTAACTTTAATGCCTACACCTCTATGCAGTCTCCCTCAATTCTGCCAGAGTGGACTGCATACAAGGGGCCCCCAGGGACTGCTGCTTAATGAATGCCAGCATCGTAGAGAAGGGTCTTTAGCAGAGCGGGCTCATTAGGTCCAAATTGTAACGAGAAGACCCCACCACCCCCAACCACCACCAAGAGCTTCAGCTTGAAAGCATGGACTCTGGAGTTGAACAGTCACAGGTTCAGGTCCCCTGCATGGCCACTTAGCTGTATGACCCAGGAGAATTCCTGAACCTCTCTGAGCCTATCCTTCCTCATCTGGGAATGAGGGATGATTGTAGCACCTACTCCATTGGGTTACTGTGAGGATTTTAAACGATAATGAACAAAAAGCAGTGTATCTCAAGATAGAGTTCAAGGTCCCAACTGGGTTGCTTCTTAAAATGCAGATTTCCAGGTCTTACCACAGACCCACTGAAACAGATTCGCTGAAGGATATTCTTAAGCACAGTGAAGACTGAGAAAGATTGATAAGACATCTAATCTGTGCCTGGCAAAATCTCAGTAAGTAAACAGCTATCTTTCTGTTTATTACTACTACAATACACAAATATGAGACCTCTTCTCCAGGCTGGACAGCCTGGTGCTCAAAATTCGAATTTATCTGAAACCCAACTCAATAGATACTCGCTCATCCTCAAAAGCCTGAACAAAGCTTCAATCACTGGAAAAATTAAATATTTTGTGAGTAATTACAGCTGCCTAGGTGAACGCAAAGTAACCTTTTGCAAATGTTCCCAAGAAATCCAATAGTCAGTTATTTTTTTTAAAAAAAGTCATAAGAAGCAAATGTTCCAAGACATGATAAACAATGTCACGTACACACTCCCTGTGAATTAGCATCTTGCCTGGGAAGGTGCTTTGTGAGAAGGGAGACCCTCGGGATGGGTACAATGATTTCTTTACACAGGCTGGCTGTTAAAGTCACATGTGAAGCAATTCTCAAAGGCCTCTGGGCTAAACTTGCAGGGAAATCATTCATGAGTTTTCCCAGACACTGAGTCCCACAGTACCTGCGTCTGTCTGTTCCCTCCACCGCCCCTACATCTTCCATTCTTCTGGAAGACGTTCAGATACAATCTTTGCAAAAATGAGTCTTCCTCTGCTTGTCACAGAGCAGCAGGATATGAAAAAAGAACATCACCAAAGAAAACTGCATGGTAATCAAATGCTAAGTATCCTAAGAAAGAACCCCTCGCCATTTAGATTTTGGGAAAATAAAAAATAGCAAAGAAACTTTTTTGGAACATTGCATTGAAACTCTCACTACAATTTCCATAAAGTTTCATTATATTCAACGAGGATTACCATTCTGTGTTTTGGCAGCTAAAAAAATTATTCCCTCTGCTTCTTCTCATTGACATCGGAATATCACACTGAGATTATATGCACCCAGAGCTCTCCTATTTGATTATACGACTAGGAAGTGCTTAATGTGACTGGGTACCTTTCAGGGAAGATTAAGAAAAATAGCTTGGGGAGCATAGCGTCTCTGAGATTTGCTTTTCTAAATTATTAAAAACTGCAGATCTCTGTAAACACGACTACACAAAGCAGCACGTTGTGTCCCTCGGTTGTCCCTTACAGTCCTTTAATCGCCCATTCTCCACATGGCTGATGCACTTCAGAGTAAACCCAACACAGAACCACTTTGCCTTTTTCTGCAAACAGCTCTACAAAGACCATAAATGTCACCACCAAATTGGTGAGCGCTAGTTCAAACCTTTGCATCTCTCATTCCTCAAGACATCTGTGTCCCTAAGGATAACAATCCGGGCTTAAAGGAAATCTTGGGAAAAGCAGCCAAGAGCTGTTCCTGCTGAGGCTAGTGGGAGGAGGCCAATGGGGAAGTGGGGTCGATAAAACTGTCTCAAAAATAAGTTCCATCTTAAAAAGCTCATGAAGGGAACGAGAGAGTTATTTCAGTTTCTTAAATGGAAGCACAACCCCAAAAACAAAAAATAAAAGGCTTGTTGATGGAGAGGCTTGCAAGACTGGGAGAGGCTGAAGGTATCGCTGTAGAAAGATTGCCTAGTAACAGAGCTTTCTTGTCTGTATTACACCCAAAGCTGTGTACCATCTGAGGCTGATTCAGGAAAATACTCAAATCTCCTGGTAATTTCCTGCAGACAGGACGTTTAATCATCTCCAAGCCTCCACCGCAAAAGAAAAAAAAGAAACCTAAACCAAATGATTCACACTCTTAAAACGAATCTGCCTTCGGAACAAGAACCGTTTTCTGCTCTTGAAAAGCAGCCACGATTTGTTATTCTAACAAAGTGTTCTTTTCCTCCAAACAGAAATAAAAGTCGCTCAAGGAGGGCTTGTACTGATTTCTGTTCTGCATTTCTTGAAACTTCCATCCAGTCAACAGTTTCTCCTGGCAGGTTCTCAGAAATCCAGGGAGAGCTGGGTAGTCAGTGACTAAGAACACAGGATCATTTTTATAAGCCTCCCTCATGCCCACTTTGTGGCCCCATGGGAAGATGTTTTATTGTAGGATGAGCAGAATTAGCTGCACATATAAATTCTTCCCTGCTCAGCTCACTTGACACCTTTATCTGAATTGCCCAACGGCTGGGAAGATTTGGCAATTGATGATTTGAAAAGGAAAGGCCCAAATCTTCCCCAAGTGGTATTTGTTCTTTCTGTACATACAGGGCCGTGTCCATTTCTCTAATTACTCAACTAGTTGCACAGATAAAAACATCTGTTTGCAGAAAGCAGGGAACCCAAAGTATACAAATGATTCACACCACCTAAACAAGTGCAAATAAAGGCCAGCCCAGCAAAATGAGAGCCTCTAAAAGCCAAAATAATTTAATATGGGCGGAAATGGAGTTTGGCAATCCACGCACCAGACTTTGCTCCAATTTTGGAAGGCATTTCTTCCAGCTGCCTCATCTTTAAAAAAATAAAAAGCAACTCTGACCCTCCGCATTAGACTTCCAACTTCTTACTTAGGTACACAAAAGTGAACAGATCCGGGAAGGAGGGACATGAAGCTGAAACTGCATCTTTTAAACAAACCTTACCCCTCCCACCAACCCGCATGGATTATTTTGGTTTTAAAATTTCCCAGGATACAGCTGCCCAGGCACCCCAGATTTGCATGATCCCCGTCCTCACCAAGTTCTGACTCTCCCAGCAGCTGAGAGGGCACATTTGGAAACCGGGGAGAGCAGGGTTCCAATTAACTACCCACCACCCCCTCCAACAGCTTTCTCCATCCTATAGACTCCCCTATGTGAGCTGGGAAGGGCGGGGGCCTCTCAACCACCCCCAATTCAGAAAAAATAAATTAACAAACCCATAATTGCTTAATTATGGAAATCAACCAAGGAGAAAAGGAAAAAATTTTAAAGTTCTTGGAAAATAAGCAATAAGGAATGTGGTAGAAGTAAATAATTTTTTAAAGTAAACCTTCCTGGAGGTATTAAAAATATTTTTTGATAGCGTAAGGGAAATAAATAAGTAGGTCATTAGCAATAAATACATTTTAAATATTTGAGGGAAATGAATTGTAAGAGAATAAAGATTATTTAAAAAGCAAGTTCAGTGAAGTTTAAATGTTTCCCCCAAAGAAGTGCTAATACAATATTATCCCCTCCTCATGATTATATTACTATTATTGGTTAATAAAGCGGCTGCGCAAAAGCTGGGGGACACAGACCAAAATGATCCCCTAGGTCTTCTTCCCAGAACTCATGACCTCCCCCCAGTGTCTGTGTGGCAAGGGACATCCCTTCCAGAGGGTCGTTTCCCAGTTCAAGACCCCTTTTCCAGAGGAGGGTCCTGAAAACCAGGAGCAAACGCGCCCCAGCGCCCCCTTCCGTGCGCCCGGGCCATGGGGGGCCACTTACCCAGCTCAGCCTTGCATTGCTCGCCGCTGCGGCGCCTCCGCCGGCCAGGGAGGAGGAGGAAGGGGGCCGCAGACCCAGGGGCCGGGGGTGCCGCTGCGGCTAAGAAGCCCAGCGGGGCGTCTGCCGCCAACTGCCCGGAGCCAGAGGGGGCCCTGCAGGGGCTCCGCGCAAGGGGGATAACATTCCCAGGGCGGTGGCAGCTGCTCCGTGCGCAGCGCTGGATCCAGGAAAATCGCTCAGGTCCTGGGCAGAGAAGCTCCAAGCTCTCCAGGCTGCCTCCCAGCTGCTTAAAGGGACGCCTCCCCACCTCCCGCTCTGCTTATTGGTGAAAATTCTGAGGCACAGGCCAATCCTAGGCCTGTTCCCAAATTGAGATTTCAATCAAGGGAGCTACTGCTTTAAAATTAGCAAGGGATGATGGGGGTGGGGGGGAGGTGTTTAGCCGCCTTTCAGAAGCAGAAGGACACAGGCTCTCCGGCCCTTGCACGCAGAGGTCCCGAGAGCTGGCAGTGGCTAGAAGAGCAAGATTATACTGTGCAGAGCATAGAGGAAGCCAGGGGACATGCTGGACCCTTGGCCTTCACTGCTCCACCCACTTCCCCCCAAGTCACTCATCCTTCAAGTCTCATCCAATTCATCACAGACGCTGGAGACCCTCTATTCTTGGGAAGAGCCTCCACGCTATGTGCTTAGAAGCCTCCCCATTATCCCCCCTTCCAGACACCCATCACACTTCCACTTCTTTGCTTTACCTGTTGCTCCCTTTACACTCTAAGTTCCACCAGAGCAGGGATGTTATCATCCATCATCATGCTGTAGCACTCCCGGCCTAGAACACTGCGAGCTCTCAGTAAATATTTGTTGGTTGAATGAATCAATGAAAAAACGAAGGAATGAACAATGAAATACATCCTATGTTAGCTGTGAGGATACAAGTGTTAAAATTAGGGGCCGCCTTGGTAGCGCAGCGGTTAACTTCGCACCCTCTGCTTTGCGGGCCCTGGGTTTGCTGGTTTGGATCCTGGGCGTGGACCTACGTACTGCTCATCAAGCCATGCTGAGGTGGCCTCTCATACAGCGCAACTAGAAGGATGTACAACTATGACATACAACTATCTACTGGGGCTTTGGGGAGAAAAAAGGAAAAAAGGAAGATTGGCAACAGATGCTAACTCAGGGCCAATCTTCCTCAAAAAAAAAAAATTTAAGAGGCAATATTCAAGAGTCCAGACAAGACTATTTCTTGTCTGAAATTATCAGACACACTCAAAAATGATGTTTACCAGCTATCTGGGCATCCCTTAGCCTCAGACAAGAGATGTGTCTCCATCTCTTACTAGTTATGTAAACCCGTGCCTCAGTTTCCTTTTCTGTAAAGCATGACCATGACATCTCCCATCTCACAGGGCTGTTGTAAAGATTGCATTAGCTCATGGCTGGACTAGAGGAGGTGCTCCGTCCATAGCTTTAGGCTACCGAATAGTCAATAGCTGTTGTTATTATGGAGATCAAAATACATTTGCTGGAGGTTGGGACTAGTCTGACTGCTGGTTTGGCTTCTTGGTAAGTACTTTCATTCATGAAACAGATATGAATTAAGTGCCAACTCAGCACCAGGCCCCATGCTAGGTGCTGGGGTCACCAAGGAAAGATAAAGTCCTTGACCTCGAAGAACTCATAGTAGGGGTGGGAGTGTGTATTAGAGTTTTCCAGAGAAACAGAACCAATAGGAGATATATATATATATATATATGCGCAGATATGAGGAGATTTATTATAGGAATTGACTCACATGGTTATGGAGGCCGAGAAGTCCCACAGTCTGTAGTCTGCAGGAGAAGCAAGAAAGCCAATGGTGTAACTCAGTCCAAGTGCAAAGCCTGAGCATCAGGGGTCAATGGTGTAAGCCCCAGTCTGAGTCCAAAATCCTGAGAACCAGGAATGCCAGTGCTGGAGAATAGGAGAACATGGATGTCTCAGCTCAAGCAGAGAGAGCAAATTGATCCTTCCTCCGCCTTTTTGTTCTACTCAGGCCCTCAACGAATTGGATGATGCCCACTTGCATGGGTGAGGTGATCTTCTTTAGGAAGTCTACTGATTCAAATGCTAATCTCTTCCACAGACAGACCCAAAAATAATGTTTACCAGCTATCTGGGCATCCCTTAGCCCAGTGAAGTTGACACATAAAATTAACCATCACTGGGTGGTGGCAAGAAGAGAGAAACAGACATATAAAGAAAATTATCTTAAATGATACTCATGCAAAGACATATGTACAGAAATGTTTATTGTGGGATAGTTTATAATATCAAAATAACTGAAAATTATTCAAAAATAGGGGAAATGGTTAAATATATTATGGTCCATCCATTTCATGGAATACTATACAGAGGTGAGGAAAAAGAGGCAGAGCTAAGTGCACTAGTAAACAATGAACACCAAAATATATTGCGAAGTACAGTGTAGAAGGTAAAACATATTCCCACTTGCATAAATAAATCTTCAGTTATTGTGTATACACACGTATGCTGTATATGCATAAAATGCTTCTAGAATGATACCTAAGCAAATGGTAAATGTTATTATATCTAGCAAGGTGGTTTGAGAACTAGGTAGGTCTAAGATGGGAAGGAGACTAATATTTCATCATATATCCTTGTGTATTATTTGAATATATTACCCTGAGCTTGTAATAAGCTCCTGGTTCTGGCAAGATGGCAGAACAACCTGAAAATTCCAACCCTTAGATATGCTAGATAAAATATATCAAAAATTCTTTTAAGTGCTTAGCTGATTCACAATAAAGAAAAGAAAATACCGAGGTGTTAGAAATAAAGAGGTAACTGAAAATAAGAACGGTGAGCATGCAAACTCATGCTGTGGGTATGAGGTAGAGGGGAAGGTGGTTGGCAGCAGGGGAAAAGTTTGTCTTTGTTCCCTAGGGGCTAGGGATTTAATGCCCAGGAGAGAAGACAAGGCCTTGGGACAAGGAGAAGCAGAAAGTTGTTATGAGACCTCTGCAGAAAACCAGGAACACTCATCGAGGGCTGCACCCTCAATGAACAAATAGATTAGAAAAACTATCAGCCACCCCAAAGAAACTTGTCCATCTCTACCTGTGTTCTGAGTAGGGGGGAAATGTTTAAGCTGAGAATTAAAAAGCCTAGGCCTGTGCCTTTCTTGAGAACGGAGTTCAAATAAAAAACGTCAGATTCAGTAAACTCGCACTGAAAAATTAATATAAATATTGGTCCTGTTCATGACATGTCAAGAATAAAGTAAATGAAAAATTGCCCTGGAGAGCCAGTTCCATAACCCAGGCTATAACTGGCCCCGCAAAGCATGAACTCCCAATAGTAAATTACATAACACTCAGGAAACTGACAGTACAAGTCAACAAATATGAAGCTCAAGAGTTAGAGCTTCACATTCTGAAAAAGAACATGAAGTAAAGTTTAAAATGATTAAAAACTTTAAAGCTAGAATTGAAATCCTAAAAAAGAACAAGACGTGATCCCTTTCTCTCCCCATAGATTCATTCAAATTAAAAACTCCACAGATAGATTAAACAGAAGGTTAGATACCGCTGAAGAGAGAAATATAGATCTCAGGGTATTACATAAAATGAAGCACAAGGGATAAAGAGTTGAAAAATATGAAAGAGAGGTGAAGAGATGTGAAGGATAAAATGAGAAGGCCCAACATACGCCTAATAAGAGTCCCAGTGGGAGACAACAGAGAAACTGAGGAGAGGGGTAAAGGCTGAAAATTTTCTAGAATTTATAAAACTCGTGAATCCTCAGATTCAAGAAGCACAAGGCATCTCAAGCAGGATAAATAAACATAAGAACATCTGCATGTACTAATTATTCATAAAAGTACAGTTAATAAAAAACTAAAGTGAGGAAAAATGAAACAGTTTAATAATGCCACAACAGAGTAAGCAGAAGGCACTTTGTAGTATAGAAGAGAAGCAACTCCGCCATCCACATTTAGAACTGGACTATATTTCCCTAAATCTTTCATCCCCAAATATAATGAATTCTGAACTACAGTATCTTCCTGAAGGCCTAGCTGTACATTACATACAGTGCCCATGTACTAAGGCGAAGTGGCCCAGATCTCCCGGAAAAGATGCATTCAGTTCAGCCATGAAACAAAAGAGGCACACAAACAAACAACGCCCCTGTCCTCAGAATCTTACTCTGGTGGTGGAGGCAGCAGATAAAAAGACCATCACAGAACGGACAGGGTCATAAGGGAGTATAAACTGCTATGGAAACACAGAGAAAGATAATCTCAACCAGCCCTGCAGGAAAAGGTGGTACCTCAGGGAAGACTTCCTGGAGAAGGTAACATCTGCACGGAGAGAGGTGTATCTTCAGGGGAAAACACTTTAGAGTTAAGCTTGGCTTTAAATCCCAGTACTGCCACTTATTATCCTGTGACTGTGGCCAAGTTATGTAACTTCTCCAAGCTTCATTCAGCTCATCTGCAAAATGGAATCCATATCACTAGTCTTGGGGTTGTTTTGAGGTTTAGAGATAATATATGTAAAGCATTTAGCAGAATGATTGATTTTTAGATTTTTCAGATCTAGTCCTTTCCATAAAGGAACTTAAAATATAGTTCCTAAAAAATAACTAATGAAGGCTGCATATGTTAAGTATCAAATATGTGATTCTCTACAATGTTAAATCCCAAAACTGTGATGAAATTCCTGTGTATATCATTAAACCTTCAGATTCCCAACCTCAAATCAAGTTGAAAGAATTCAGAGTCTAGCAGGGGAAGGGACAGATGGACCCTCCTCAGTATTACTCAATAGGTTTGTGAATGACTAGGATGATGCATGAAGAGGAAACTTGTCAAGTCCAACCAAAGATGCCAAGTTGCTGGCCTCTGCCAATGCTCAGCAGATAAGGACACAAAGTGATCTAGCCAATCTGCAGGAAAGGCCTGAACTAAAGTAGATGAAAGTCTATAATGGCAAGGGCTGTTGCCTGCCCTTTGGAAGAAGCACTGAACTGTGCAGTCTTAGAGAGGAAAGAATGGGCCAAGAACATGCTTTCCATTCATTCCTTCATGCACCATTTAACAAACACTTATCTAATGTCTACTATAAGAAAGGGTTTGCCTTAAAGGCTGGGTAAACATGGAAAAACATGAATAAAACATGATGCCTGCCTTCAAGGAGCATAAAACGTAGTGATCTGAAATCCTCTTCACTTGAAACTGCCCATGCCCTCCAACATTCTTCCTTCTACC